TTCCCAAAAAAAAAAAAAAAAAAAAAAAAAAATCAAAATCCTCCATTAAATCACTCATCAATAACAATTTATACAACTTTTCAAACAATAATAACAAATCTATATACCTTCTTCTCCTCAACAGCAGCTGCGGCGGCGGGGGCGGCAGCGGAACCACCGCCAGCAGCGGGGGCGGAAAAGGCGACGGCGGCACCACCTCCACCAGATCCAACGTTCATGATGAGGTCATCGATGTTCCTCTTCTCAAAAAGCTTGGCAAAGAGGCCTGGCCAGTACGATTCTATAGGCACGTTGGCAGCCTTAACCAGTGTCGCAATCTTCTCTGACTGAAACGTAATCGGAAACATACAATAAACAACACATCTAAAATAAGATGATACAGATCTCAAAAACAACAAAAACAGAATAGGAAACAAGATGATTACGGTGACGGGGATGCCATCGTCGTGGAGGATGAGAGCAGCGTAGCTGCAGGCGAGTTCGCTCAGAGACATCTTTCGCGGAGGAGATAATTCAAAACTAGTTTGCAAATCTACAGAAAATCGATATTGATCAATTCCAAATCGATGAATAGATAAATAGATAAATTCGATATTGAAGAGTGGATCGAGAACCTGATAGTACAGAGAGGCGTCGCCTTTGTGTGAATTAACGGGCAAAGGAGAACTAAGGAATCAATGAGCTAGGGCACCATGTATATAATTGGCTCCGTTGAGGGTTTGTTGCCAATTGGGATGATAATTAGCCCAATATTTGCTTGGGCCGGTCTTACAATTACAAAGCCCAAGACAATATTAAGGTCAGGCCTATCAAACCGACTTAGGATTGTAGCTATTCTAATTGGTTAAAATTTTATTAAAAAAATATCAAACATTTTAGAGTATTATGCGTTATTGTTAACATAAATAAAAAATTGCGATTAAATGAGTCATAATTTATTTCTCCACTACTCAATAAAGGTGACTCAATATGTCTCACTAATAAATTTTTTAACTCCGTAATTAAGTCTTGTTTAACAAGTATCTATTTTAACTTAAAGTCAAAAAGTTACTAAAAAAAAAATAAAAAAGCCTATAACATATAGCAAAAAGTCAAAAATTCTCTTTTTTCTTTACTTTTTGCACATCGTTTTGTAAAAAACTAAAAAATCACCCCAAATATATTAGTTTTTTTGTCTCGTATTTTAGCTAAAAAACTAAAAAATTACTAAATTTATCTATTCCCAAACCAGGCCTTAGTTTCAACACTGCGTAAGTAATGTTGTTGATGCTATGGCAAACTAGAATCAAAGAGGCGAAGGGACCATATATATAGTTTTTAAGTTAGGGCACAGTATATAATGGGCTGGGTTGAGGGGTTAGCAAGTGAGATTGGTGGTGAGATTACTCTTTTAAGCCCAATATTGGCGTGGGCTATGTGAGCTAGCCCTGCATTTACAAAGCCCAAGCGATATTTCCGCCTACATGTTCCGATGGCCTGCCCATCCCATTCAACCTTATTTCATATTTTAAGCGCTTGAAAGTAATATTTGGCTCATTGAACTGAGCTACACGAATTCCATTTTAATTTTTGAATTGAGGTTGGAATAAAAATATTTAGTCATACCCAATCCACCCAATCGTGCCTTGCATATTTATGATATTATTTTTAATTTTATATTATTTAGTTACAAAATAAACTAGGAAAATAATAAAAGAGAAGAAAACTATATATATGTATATACTTTTTTTATGGGTTAAAATAAATTTTGTTAAAAGACTATATTTATTTTACAATTGAATTTAGTTAATGTTTCAAATTCAAATAAAATAATTATTTAAAGGGTCCAAATAATTTAATAGTCATTAAAGACAAAATAATAATAATAATAGTTTATATATAGGAAGTTAAATTGGTAGGTTTGAAATTTATTTCTTTTAAAGTCGGACTTGGGATGACTAAATTAGGCCTGATATTGGGTCAAATCGGGCTATTCTTACCATATAGTACAAATTCGATTTGAACCAGGCCAAGTTGTTTGTCCACCCTTATATTAAAGCCAAACCAATCAAATAATCTGAAACTAGGCTAGAATCCTACATCTCATTAAGTGGCCAATGATTCGAGTCCCTTCACTTTCAATTACTGTCTTAGATTTACAACCAAAAAATAAAAAATAAAAAAATGAAAAAAATATGAAACCTTCCTCAAAAATAAAAAATAAAAAATAAGACCGAAAAGATAAATCTCAAAATAAAAAAAAAGTCCACTGTCAAAACAGACAAGGCAGACAAATTATTAGGTCAGAGTAATTCTAATAGAGTTGCTGTTATGCTTGCTTGTGCAAAATTATAGCAATTTTATCCCCCAAAAAAATAAAAAAAAATGTTGCAAATGACATGTTAAATGAGTAGTTAAAATAAAACATGACATTACAAAGCCTTGTGCCAATTTAGCATAAAATTTGTCAAAATGTCCAATTTTAGTTAGAACTCCACGTTCTCTTTCATAAGAAAAATTATGTGGTGGACTTGGGACAAATTCACATGTTTTAATTTGATAAATCACTTGTATAAGTTAGTTAAAATTTACGTAATTTTAAAATAGAATTGCATACTGAGAGGGTAATTTGTGTAGGCAAATTGGGCCGAGCTAGGGTCTTTGGAGTTTGGGCCATGCATGGGGTCGAGATAAGAGCGTGGGTAGCTCGGTTCTGGGCCGAATGGTGGTACTGGATATGGTTATTCATGATCAGGCTAGGGGTAGGCTGAGATGACTGTGGAAGAGAGGGCCGAGCTAGAGTTAGCTCAGTAGACCGTCACTTGACCGTTTTCACGGTTTGGCTTGAGGAGTAGTGGAGCGCGGTAGCTTGGTTGGGTGTCAACAACCGAACAGGGAGTCGCCATTCCACTGGGTTTACAGTGAGTAGGGTGTTCCAAGGATAAGCATTATCCTTCGAGAATGCGACTCCTATGAGGACTTTTCTAAATGAGAGTTAGGGTCCTATTAGGATTGTGCCAAGTGAAATCTATTAAGGCTCATGACAGAACCTATAGAGAAGTAGTCCAATTCTTACTCAAAAATACGTAGAGCTTATTGTCTATTGTCTACTTGTTGACTTAGGCATCAGAAGAGCTTTTGGCACACACCCGCCGGCTAGCTCACGTGTGTTTTTCAGGTAGCAAAGTGACGACGTTTGGAGGAGCATAAACTTGGTTGAGAGGATTATACAAGAAGATTATTTCATGCTCATCCAATTGGTGCCGTCTGTGGGAAGTATCACAGAGAACAAACCTTTTGATTAAGTTTTCTTCCAACTGATTTCAATGGCGCACGACGAAGACTTGCCTTAATCTGCTATTGATAGACAAACTCCAAGGGGGACAGGAGGTGCAAGGATTTTCCTTTTGTCCCACCCATGGCAGAATTGGATCCCTAGCAACGGAACCCACGGAGGGACGCGTGAGAAAAATCAGGGCTCAAGTCCTTGTCGCTCTCAAAGCCCAGATGGATAGAGACGGATGATGGATTCCCAAATTCTAGAGGATCGCGTGAAGGAGTAAGACAAGTTCATAAAAAGAATAGCGGCTGACATGGAGACCATGAAGCGCCAGATGAAGGGCAAAGACGTGGTAGGATGGGAAATACGCGAAGGAAGAACGCGTTCTTGCCACTCAATAGATCGTGACAGGCAAGCCTTCGCAATCTGAAAGCAAAAGCCTTAGAACAGGCGGCTCACGATTAAGAACTTTCAGGACTTGTTGCTCCAAGTCTGAGAGAATGAGGACTGAAAGGTCTTACACTGAGGGAAGCAGTTATCATCCCTCATATACACATAAAACCATTTCTCAACACACCGAGTTGCCTAGGTCGGCGAACCTGCGAACTTTGTTAGAAGAAAGGGCTCGAAAAAGAGAAGTTGCCAAGGCTTGCGGCCCCCAAAGGGTCTTTGCTTTGTAGCGGTTGGCTCCTAGGACACATGGAAGTCTCGAGGTTGGAATGCCAATGTTGTGCCTTGCTTACGAACCAGCAAACAAAGTGTTAGCAACGTTGCAAAATTTGTTGTTCGTTCCGGTGATAGAGAACGCACCATTGCCCTTGGGTTTCAACCAGCCAAAGTTCACAACCTATGAGGGGAAGTTAGACCCCTACATGCACTTTCGCCACTTTCGCCATGTTATGGCCACACATCAACGGAACAAGGCTCTAATGTGTATTTTGTTTCCATCAAGCTTAGGCGACCTGGGCTTGACTTGGTTTGAGAGGCTGCTAGAGGGTAGCATCGCTTCATGGGCATAACTGGCAGAGGTGTTTGTCACCAGGGTCAAGACAAACACTAAAACTCCGGTCAAGATAGACCAGCTGCTCGTCATTGACATGGGCGAGAAAGAAACGTTAAAGGCTTACAACAACAGGTATTGAGAGACTTTCGACCAGATAGGCGATTGCCCTACTAACCTAGCTATCGTACAGTATAAGCGGGGTTTATTGGTGGGCCCTAAGTTGAGGGATTCAATGACAACGACGCCACCCCTCACGATGGAAGCCCTGGTGGAAATAGTGCACCAATACATTAGGGTAGACAAAGATGCGCCAAGGCAAAGTCTGGCACAATAGCGAGGATAAAAAACTTGTGGCAAAAGTTAACACGGTCGGCTGGGAGGGCTGATCAAACAGAAATGATCGAGGTGGACAACCAAACAATGAGGACTCCAAGACAAGGAGGTTGAGAGTCCGCACCGCTATCACCATGGTATTCAAGAAGTCTATCTACCAGATTCTTAGAGAGATACGCGACGAACCTTTCATTCGGCTGCCAGCCAAGTTGGGTGAAGTGCAAAGGGGTTGTGATGATAGGTAGAGGTGCACCTTCCATGATGAATTGGGGCACTGGACTGAAAATTGCACACCACTGAGGCAACATTTGGAAGAGTTAGTGGCTGCGGGCCACCTGGACTAATACATTGAAGGGGGAGCTCTACCAACCCTCCAGAACAACAATAGGCCAAATGGGATGCTAGTCAAAGGTTCGCCTCAAGGCGTAATCAATGTGATATATGGGATCATCGAGCCTGAACGAGTTTGCGAGCTTAGAGAGATGATCAAGAAGGCGATGCACATGAGGGAAGTACGAAGTGTACAACCTACTGTGAAAAAAGGAAAGACGAAAGCAAAAAACGTCATCACCTTCTCAGACAAGGACTTAGCAAGGTTACAAAGCCCTCACAACGACACACTAGTGGTTACTCTGCGCATTAAGAATTTTGACATCAAGTGGATCTTGACAGACCAAGGGAGCTCGTGCGCGATAATGCACTATGAGACTTTCAAACAACTCAAATTGGAGGACAAAGATCAAGCACTTGTGACATCTCTCTTAGTCGGTTTCAACTCCATGCCTGAATAGCCGGTTGGCAAGATAATTTTGCGTGTTAAAGCGGGGACAATGACAAAGCAAGTGGAATTCTGGGTGCTGAAACTCCCTTCTACTTACAATATTGTTTTGGGGAGAGCATGGTTGCACGCCATGTGAGCGGTAGCATCAATCTACCATCAGGTGATGTGATTCCTTAACGAAGCTGGGGTGATTGAAGAAATCTTGGGAGAGCAAATCATGTCCAAGAAATGCTTCATAACGGTGAACGGTAACTGAGCTGCCAAAGGTTTCATACAGATGGTAGAGAAGCCAGGAGCTAACGAGTTGTTCACAAATGTCGGTAAGGCAACCGAGCAGAAGACAGTAAAAGATTTGGTAGAGTTGAGGATAGATGAGAAGG